CTTTAATATCGCTTAATGTAGGGTTCTGAAACATTGTGTTGTGATAGATCTTACTAAAATATTCACATCTTCTTATGTTAACATGATACATGGTGTAAAACAACAGTATCAACAGTGATAGCACAAATGATGGTAATTGTTATAAATAGTAAATTGCATTATACACAATACTTAGGCAAACGAATAAGCTGCAACTTTACATGGAACTGAAAACCATACGATTTATTTTCTTTCGCACGGGCCCTCCTTGAAGTATAATTTTATAGAGAAATCGAATTTTACAGAAGATTGAACGCGTACTTTATTTAATAGAAATCGGTCACGCATAAACCAAAATAATTTCATGTTAAAACTACTTCCCCTTTATTTACAGGCAGTATAAACTAGGTATGTCATAGAATGTGATATGTGTTCCTGCGGGAACAATTCTTATAGCTGTGGGAAGGAGTGTTTGGAATTTATCATGAAGAAACCAGAACAGTTTAATGTCAAAGTGGCCCGGTATTCTTAGACAACAGATTTATAGTGTATTGCAGATAATGTTCTGCGATTTTATGGGAACAGCTCTCTTTACTGGCTCCATCATCAGCTTCGAAGAGCTGTTGGGCGTAACTGACTTTTACTATTAAGTCATTAAATGATTACATCATCACACGAAAGAAGACAGGTTATAATTTTTAATTTAATTTAATTTTCTGTTAAATTTGGATGTCGGGGCCTAATTTTCTTTCAGAAATGTATTTCTGTAAACTTAGATTTAAGATAATAATAATGCAATAATGCCTGTTTCCGGAACCTTTCATAACCACTCGAAAACCTGCTTGTCTTATATGGTTTTGCACGAATGCTCACATTGTTCCCTCCATGAACTTATTACTGCATTTTAGAGCAAGATACTCCTCTTGTACGATCAGTAAGAACTTCCGTGTTCTCTGGAAGTCTAGATTTGTTATTTAGTATGAAATTAATTATCTTTGTTGGTAGAAGTATTTTCATACACAATTTATTGAGCTCGTGTGAACAAACGGCTGATGTATACATCTATTTATTTGTATGAGTCTGCATTTGGAACATTGCACGTGATATCCTGAACTGAAGTGAAATGGAGTATTTTCTATGTGCCTCATAAAGATAACTGAGTCTGATTTGTGGGTCGCTTTCCAAACATTCTTAGGATTTAGAGGCGACTGAAAAAGAGAAATGAAGGCAGAAACAAAAAAGGCAAGAGAAACAAAAACGGGAAGAAAAAATAAGTTTATTGAAACAGAAACAAATTAAAATTAGAAAAAACAAAGGAAATTGAATGAGAGAGGAAAAAATGAAGAAGCAAAGAGAAGGAAGAGAGAGGTATTATGGAAATAATAAAGAAAGGGAAGAGGTAGAATAAAATGTAGGCCTATTGGCCTAGGGGAAGAAATCTCACTTTCTAATTATTTTATGGAGTAAATAAGCTACATTTTAATAGTATCAACGTACTATTAATTATTAAATTAGTCTTAAATAACAAATGCATTTACTTCTTTTAACTTCGCATTAACACCATAAAGAATAGATATATAGTATTTATCCTGAGCTTCATTAATTTTGCGGGTTTGGGCTTGAAATATATGTAGTTTTGGCAATGAATTATCGGTTTTATATTCCCTGTCTGAACGTCAGTTTTGTTATATGTGTGCGCAGTGAACAAAATATTTCTGGCCTTTAGAAAACAGTAAACGTGACAGACCCTTGTTGTAGCATGAGCTGAATATCGTACATGACTTCTGGCAACGGAAAGAAAGCTCTGTTAATCTGTAGAGTCAACTTGCAATATGCACTTAATTGCAGCGAGGATGTTCGCTCCGAACTTTGTGAAGCACCCTGTCTACTACAAACAAATAATGCCTGATGCCACGATGCCACCATTCGGTATCTCAGATTATATAGGGGTGAATATAGGGTGATTAGTAAAAGACAAACTGGAAAGGATATGGAACGAAACCGTTCTGTTTGCGTTTCTGTCCCATTATTTTACCTCGAAGACTGAAGAAAACGAAGAAACTTAGAATATGTAGGATTTGAGGTTTTCACGGCGGTGACTATGAAGGAAGCAGTCTTCTGGCATGTGGCGCCGTGTAGTGTTAACCGACGTTTAGGAGGAACTTATCGCCTCCATCTTCATGGTGCTAACAGACTCAGTCTGGTTCCTCGCTCGCGGATTTTCTTCTTTTTTCTTCTACCCTGAAAATGGAGGCGATACGTTCCTCCGAAACGTCGGTTAACAATATCTACGGCGCCACATCCCGGAAGACGGCTTTCTTCAAACTTAGAATAGCCAGTGTTACGGCCGAGAAACGAATCGGACTCCTCCCAAGTACAAATAAGAAATGTAGAGCTTGAGCCGACTTGCTAGGCTGGTTTGAGGAATATTCCGTGTACCCAGCTAAAATATGTCATGTGACAGAGCGGGTTGGCCTAGCAATAATGCTTGGGATTGTTTCCCCAGGCTAACTATCAGCTCGGTTACTGAATGATATAGTTGAGATCTTGTTTTGTTTTCCGGGCGAGTGCTTGGTTAGTGCTTTGAAATAGTTTACCTTCTTCCAGATATTTACTTGGTTAGTGCTTTGAAATAGTTTACCTTCTTCCAGATATTTACTACTTGTATTCATTATAATTTTCCCATCTCCTTCGACAGATATGTCCTTAGTTTAAACAGCGGCTTCGATTGATGTAGGACTGAGTCAATGCCGCTGTAGTAAATAATTGTAGAAATTGTATAAGACGCAGATGTTAATGATTTACCCTATTATTATTGAAAGCCTTGAAGCATAAATAATTAAGAAGAATGCCGTCTTCTGGGATGTGGCGCCGAGTAGATCTTGTGTGAACCGATGTTTCGGAGGAACGTGACTGCAGCCACCTGCTCACGCCGGTTCCTTGCTCGCGATTTTTATACCCTGAAGATGGAGGCGATACGTTCCTCTGAAATGTCTGTTTTAACAATATTTACATGGCACCACACCCCAGAAGACGACATTCTTCATAGGCACCGCCGTAAAAACCTCAAATCTTATATAAATAATTAATTTCCATTATAATTTCTTTGCACACACAAACCATCTGTCTCGTGTCACGCTGCAGTGTTTTCACGATCCTAGGTACTGAAATTAGAATGGCGCACAATTTCACCCCAAAGCTTAGACGAGCCATTCTGGAGCAAAAGATTTCTCATATGCTCATGCGCGAAGGATAATATTTGCCGTAACAACAATCGTGGCCTTATTCAGTTACAGTTTCTTGTTAATGTGGATAGATCTTCAATTAGAGGATACACACACTTTGTTAGAAATGCAGTGTAAAGAAGAGAAAGCAAGGTCAAATGTGGAAAGAACTCTATAACACACTGGATACTATAATTTATTAATGGTACTTTGTAATATCAAAGCAAACAAGCTGATGGCATTATCTGAGAATCGCTGTGCGTAGACTATGCTTTGTGGATTTTCTCACGCTGTGTTGGGTATTACGACAATTTGAGCTCAGTTCCTTAGTGTATAAATTATAACATGCTTCGACTTTTCGGCCTGTAGAGGTCGTACTGTGTTAATCAAAATGATTTTCATTCACACCTGTTAGCTCTCAAATAACAGAAAAGGTTTCTACTTGTATATGGCAGCATTCAAATGAGGAATCATGTAACACATATTCGAGTCAATGACAGACGGAAAGAAATTTCAGTCGAACTGCTTTCCAGTATTGCACATCGCGCGTTGGATATTATCTCTTCTGTCACCTGTAATCTACCCTGTAACTCATGTGGATTCCCCAGTGAGCTTTCTATCTGTGTTGAAACCACGGAATCTAAGACCACAAGAAGATGCTGTCAATCATACAGAAACCTGTTGCTAACCAGTTTCTTTGCCACTTCAAGATGTAGTTTCCCTTTCTCTATCTCTACACGTTTCCATGGGCAGGAAGAAAACGTCCGCTGGGCTTCATAATGCCTTAGCTAACGGACTTTAACACTCTGAAATGGAAAGGAACAAAGCCACGTAGGTAGCAGAGAAGGGGCGAAATAGCCTCGGTAAACATGCCAGAGATTTCTCTACCACCTTTATTTTTCCTATATATATGTCTATTTATATATGCTGCTTTTCTTGAAATTCCATTTCCTCAAGGTAAACTAGTGAAGACATGAAAGGTTAAAAATAAATTGTTCAACTTTTGACCTATCGGAATGAAAAATAATTATAGAAAAATAAATCGATTACGCTTTAAAAGCTTCATTAACCATAAAACAATGACGAATATTAGTTAAAAATATAAGAAAATATATTTCAAGGAGACATCAGTTGTGTACGTGAATTATAAGAAAAAAGGCAAATACCTATCCGAAACGGAGACGCCGGAAAGTTCAGAGTGATTGCTTATTTGGTTATGACCGAGAATGAACTGAGAAATCTGCAGCAAAAAGTTGCTCTCCGTACTTAATGGCAGTTGTTTAAAAGAACCTGAAATTTAAGTGAAATCGTTTATAGATGCCGATCGAGTGAAACTACTTGTCCCGTAGGAGGCAGGCAAACTTTCTTTCCTGCGTTTATAAAAAACAACAAAAAGATCATTATGCAATGTATGTGTATGTAAAACAGCAGTAATACTACGGCTTTAAATAAAAAGCAATAATTTCATTGAGAAATTACGGGGGTCATTTCCTAACTTTCGAAAACAGCTGCACAGTTTATAAGAATATACTTCTGTAACTGGTGATATGGTAGTTTTGTAACTGCTTCCATTAAACCATTATTCAATCCACTTTCACGTTCTTTTACATAAATGCCTTCCATCTGGATTCCTTTCACACGTGGTGTCGTTGAAGATTCATTTGACAACGTCAGTTCCGTTTTTATATCAACCGGGAATTTTAAAATAAAGTACAGACCATTAACATAGGGATTCAACAGGTGCTCACTATAAAGACAACATAGCGTAATCTGTTTTTATTGCAAGACTGTACTTACCTAGACCGAAGAGGAGGACGCACAATAACACAGTTGATCTCGCCATCCTGGCCAGAAATGATCTCAGAACGGCCGACCTCTCTGCGCGAAGGAGCTTACGGACGTCTCTTTTTATTTTATACCTTTGTTAACCGCGCATGCGCTACAAGAACTACACACTCCTCTTTAAAGTCAGTCACCAACCAATGCAGTCTGTAAGCAAGCTTATAAGATCTGAAACGTGAATTTACTTTCACCGACTAGTCATGAACACTGCAGCATTGGCGGGTTTTGCGTTCGCACCGCACAACAGTTTGGTCTTGAGCTATACGACACAAAATGGCCACAGCCTCTGGTCTCCACTCCCCTTATATCTACCAACACGTTAAATCAGTATACCAGTGACGTCACGCTCTAGATAGTATCACCTGCAGAGTGTTACTGAAGACAGGGACTGGATACGACCAATCCCCACTTCAATCTATACCCTCTCGTGCAAGCTGTGCCGGTAGCTTACTTGATGATTTGGGACCAAACATGTCGTAAGTCTTCACAGATCGGTTGACGACTTTTCTCTGCTGCTATCAGAGGCGGTGCCTGATATTCCTATTCACATGACCCTTGAATTTACTTATCTATAATTTCTCTCAGCTCTCTTCGCTCAGTGGTGTAGAGAGTTATGCAGCGACAATGTTTTACTTCCCAAACCAATCTGTAGTCAGTGTGGATGTCTTAGTACCTGAGATGAATATCAATTTTCTGTCGCCTTCTAGCGCCCACATAACTTGTATTCCTGGCGGAGGGTCAGTGTCTTCTACGAAGGGAAAATATATTGAAAACTGCTGCGTAGAGATTTCCACATTACCTCGTAAATCAATCCATACTGTGGTAAACATCTCTAATTCAATGCCGCATTTTTGGCGTAATATCTAGATTAAACCTCAGTATTCATTTCCATGCCGGTCACGTCAGCCGAGCGGTCTAAGGCATGAACTCAGGCCGCGCCACAGCTCAAGCTGTTAGTTGCTGGCTTCCCACCGTGGCGTCTCGGGTTCGAGCCCGGGGTCTGGTCAAGTGGGATTTATGATGGACAAAGTGGCGCTGTGGCAGGTTTTCTCCGAGTACTTCGGTTTCCCCTGGCAATCTTCATTGGTCTGTTGGCCTATGTCGATGATGTGAATCTACTGGGCGATAATGTAGATACCAAAGGAAAACACTTACTTACTCATGGAGCTGAGCCCTTCTGGAGGAACAGCCAATTCTGCAGCTACTCAAGAGTTTCCCAGCATTTTATGGAACCCGAAGGTTCATTGCCGTGTTCACAAGAGCCCTCCACTGGGCCTTATCCTGAGCCAGATCTATCCAATCCATACCATCCCATCCTGTCTATCTAAGATCCATTGTAATATTGTCCACCCACCTACGTCTTGGTCTTCCCTGTGGTCTCTTTCATTCTGGCTTTCCCACCAATATCCTATACGCATTCCTCGTCTCTCCCATTCGTGCTACATGACCTGCCCACCTCATTCCCCTTGACTTGATAATTCTAATTATACTTGGAGAAGAGTACAATTTATGAAGCTCCTCATTATGCAGTTTTCACCAACCTCCTATAACTTCATCTCTCTTCAGTCCAAATATCCTCCATGATTTATTTCAACCGTCTTCCAGTGCATACACTCGTCTACCTCACTCCTCTCTCTCGCACTACATATTTCGGCACAAAAGTGCCATCTTCAGGTGCTTATTCGATTTACGTTAAACTAGTTCACTGCATGCCTTGCCGTCTTCATATTAAAATAACTAAAATATACATTTATCATATATATTGATAAATATTAAATATTAAAAATATTAAAATTGTTCAGGATTTTTCATCCCTACGTCGTAGGGAAGACGGCAAGGCATGCAGTGAACTAGTTTAACGTAAATCGAATAAGCACCTGAAGATGGCACTTTTGTGCCGAAATATGTAGTGCGAGAGAGAGGAGTGAGGTAGACGANACCAACCTCCTATAACTTCATCTCTCTTCAGTCCAAATATCCTCCATGATTTATTTCAACCGTCTTCCAGTGCATACACTCGTCTACCTCACTCCTCTCTCTCGCACTACATATTTCGGCACAAAAGTGCCATCTTCAGGTGCTTATTCGATTTACGTTAAACTAGTTCACTGCATGCCTTGCCGTCTTCATATTAAAATAACTAAAATATACATTTATCATATATATTGATAAATATTAAATATTAAAAATATTAAAATTGTTCAGGATTTTTCATCCCTACGTCGTAGGGAAGACGGCAAGGCATGCAGTGAACTAGTTTAACGTAAATCGAATAAGCACCTGAAGATGGCACTTTTGTGCCGAAACATGTAGTGCGAGAGAGAGGAGTGAGATAGATGAGTGTATGCACTGGAAGACGGTTGAAATAAATCATGGCTTTAAATCAGTGCAACAGGACGCTAAAATATAACCAAATATTCTCCTCAACACCCTGTTCGCAAACACCCTCAGTCTATGTTCCTCCCTTAATGTCAGAGACCAAGTTTCACACCCATACAGAACCACAGGCAAAATTATAGTTTTGTATATACTAATTTTTGTGTTTTTGGACAGCAGACGAGAAGACAAAAGGTTGTGGACTGAATGGTAGCAAGCGTTTCCCAACTTCAGTCTCCTCTTAATTTCCTCCTGAATCAGGTTTCGATGGATGGGTAAAGAAAAACACACAAACTTTAATTGACACAAGTAAAGAGGTTGGTCTAGACATAAACACTAACTAAGTATATGTTGCTGTCTCGTCACCAAAATGCAGGGCAAAATCATGACATAAAGATAGGAAACGGATGTTTTGAAAATGTGGCACAGTTCAGATATTTGAGATCAACGATAACAGATCGAAACCTAATCTTTATAGACACCGCCATGTAATCGAACTATCTCAAAGTTATAATTTACTCTCAGATCTTCCTTTTCTGAATTTGATTTGAGTTAGTAAAGTGTTGGTAATGGAAGATTGCCTGGGCAGTTGAGAAGAAAAATAAAACACCGTGGCTTGTAGTCCTCAAGCGAACTATACCAACCGAGCGACGAATTTAGTGCCAACTTTAGCGGTTAGAGGGTGTCGCATGGTCAGCGCAACGAAATTGTTTGTACAACTGGCCGCCTGTCACTTCTCACACCCTCGAACGCACCCTCTTGTCTGAAATTTTTCTTCTGCGCATTCAAGGTTACTCTTGGCCTTGTTCGAAGTTACGTGACATTTGCTCTAATATACATTCTACTATTTTCACTGTTTTCTGAGCATCTGGAAGGGCCCGAAGTGTATGCTTGTTGACTATATTCCAAGGCGTCATGTACAATATTTTTTCCTGCGAATGTGCATTGATTCAGTATTCATTCAGGTCCACTTCATGTGTGATAATTGCAAATTACTGGGACTTGGTTACCTGCGTTTATTATTTCTTGTGTTTTGGTACGGAATTGAGACACAGTTTGCTTGAGCATTGATGTACTTGGAACGTAAACTTATGTAGGCCATTCAGACTTGATTGAGAGAATGTGAAAACTTAAAGTATACCAGGTGTAGTAGGCTATGCAAACACTCTCGATTTCTCCTTTTGGAATGTGAACAATTCAGATAACACAGGAGACAGAAAACATTTATAATATATCTCTTGTTTTTTTTTTTATTCACTGGAGAGTGGGTGACCGTGGATCTTGGCTAGAGAGACTGTACTAGTTGGAAGATAATACTGTAACCACCAAGTTCAATGCCGTGTATCTTATACGTATGATCCTGAACCGAGTTCTTGATTTAGATGAATTATACCTATATACATATTTTCATTTTTATGGCTTTATTGTTCTATTCTTTCATGGAAAGAACCCATATCTCACGAGCTGTATTGGGGACATGAGCAGTGAGACTCGAAAGTTAATACTGCTGTTGTATGTAGGCCCTAATACTCGACCTCAATTAGTTTCACCCCAGTTTCAGCACTTCTCGGCATCTTCTGTAAACCTACGCTTGAGTTCATTGTCGCTGTGCTGTGAATTCTTGGCACCTGTCCGCCTCACAGCAGTACTGTAGATTCCATACACGTGTTCAGTACATCGTGGTCAGAATTAGAGCTTCGAAGCCAGAAACCGATTTGTGATGCAGTAATTTCACTGTGTATAGGCCTCTGTGTTTATGTACTCTAAGTTCTTGTTAACTGTGCTTATTCGTCTTCCAAAATACAAAGGGAATGGAGAAAATTACGTCTAAGAAAAGTAATTGTTTGAAGCCTGAAGTTCGTGCAAATAAAAATGCAGGTACTGCCACTCAGAAGTGCGCTGCGGCTGTATGAAAAATACGGATCTGTTGAACTTGCATATGGAATTAATCGCTGTTCCTTCTGGGAATTTTACTGTGACATGACGCCTAAGAGCCGGAATAGCGGAACCAGAGTAGGCGCTCATTGCTAGGCAACGATTCGGTAAACTGGTACCGCGGAAATGAACTCGCACGCAACAATAGAATTACCGTTTCTATACAACGGCGAGGTAAACACATCTCTTTAACAATAGAGGAATTGTTAGGAAACGGTGTTTGCTGTTGGGGCAATCCCAAGGCATTATATGTCATATAGTGGTTTGTGAAGTGTAGTAGCAAGTTGTAAAAATGTGTAATAAATCCAGTCATCAATCCAAAACCCGTATGTAAGTCACTCACACCCTCAAAATACGTGACAATACGAAACTCAAAAGTACAATCTGTGGGGAAAATGTAGTTCCTTCAATTTTATAGTGGGTTGTACACGCGGTAGCCTATTTGGTTGAGGCAATATGCTACAATCCGGAAGGTCGCGGGTTCTATTCTCGATGAGGTCCTTGACTTTTAAGCTGACTCAATCCTTCCACCCGCTCTCTGGATGCGGGATCGACTCATCCTGTAACTACCAAGAATCGTCCTGGGAGTTAAGGGCGGCTGGGCTTAGGCCTACTTCCATGAACTTCTCCGTTCACTTCGGTTTTTCTAGATCTTACACATTCGGTAGGACTCCTTGGGCGGGTGATCAGCTTGTCACAAGGCCTCTACCTGTACGAGTATACAAACACAGAAAAACGCACACACACGAAC